CTGTTGGGTAAAGCCCGTCAATGAAGCGTTGTGCTCTCTGGGCCTCCGTACGAACCAAGTCAGGAACGAAAGCTGCAAGTCTGGTAAACTCTCTCTCTCTCGTACTCGTCAACGGAACGAGTACCCTGTTTGAGCGACAGAAACTGCCGCTCCATCTCTGCTCTGTAATAGGTGGGGTAGTACTTCTCGCGGATCAGCTCCTTGAGCCTATCCCATGTACATCCGTCCTTCTCGCCGGGACGCATGCTCCAGTAGGCATTCCACCAGAGCCGGGCATCGCCGGTTAGCTAAAGCTGAGCGCATATAACACGATATCTGTCTGGACAATCTATGACCTCGAAGATCAACTCAAGGCCCTGAATCCACTCGTCCACGATACGTTGGTCTCTCTGCCCGGAGAATTTTTCAGGATGATAGTCGCGAAACTGTGCGACCACCGTGGCCTGAGCAAGAACCGGGTGATCGGGTTCCCTACGGGGCGGCATCTGATCATTGAAAAGTTCAAAATTCTTGAACACCTGAAAAATATATCCTGACTGATTTCTAAATTACACAGATCTCTTGACGAGTTGCCAAAAATGGCCGGAAAATACTGATATAGATCCTGAAGAAGTCTAGAGTTATATCTGAGTACACTAAACTCTAAAGTCTGAACCTGATTCGCGCATATTAACTAAGTCATGATTTATAAATTTCTGAGCATAGGCAAAATAATATGTTTATAACTGAAAACATAAATCAGCACTTACCTGTAGTCGGCGAGGCGTGAGCGTGACGGTTCAGGTTTTTCTGAAAATTTCTGACTTATAAAACTTTTCAGAGACGCAGAAACATGCTCTGATACCAATTGTAACACCCTGCTATTTACCGAAATCAGAGTATGCTTTTTCGCAAATTTTTTAATTAAAATAAATAAAATATTTCTTTTTGCGAAAACTGATTCGGAGTGTTACCCTAAAATCTGACTTTTATCTGAAAACCGTTAGTTTTAATCTGATAATAAAAACGGTTATAAATATATTAACCGACTAGTGTCGGATCAAAAGCTGAGTTAAAGTACTGAAACTGTAGCGGAATAGTATTGTAGCCAAAACATATATATACATATCAACAAATATCCTGAACAACTCGTCAGCTCACTCCTCGTCCCCGACTCGGTGACCTGAAAAACATGAAATACGTGGGGGCGTGAGCACTAAAACACTGCTCCGCAGATACTAAAGTAAAACAGTGAATATAATAACAATATCATGATCCTGGTATATATAACTGAACTGAAACTGAACTGATAACTGATACCGGTACTGAATAATCTTATACTGATCTAGTGATATAAATCACCTGACTGATAACTGAACATCTGCCGGCACAAACTAATACCGGACACCATGTGCACACTCTAGTGGGCAGATTAGGGCCACTAGAACCCAGAATGGACCGGCGACCATTCCGAGCGGATACTGATAATACATACCTCAAACATGGTAGAGTAATTATAATCAATGTAGTACTTAGTCTGAGCCCCCACCTGCTCCGTGAAAATGAAGGTAGTGCTGATGCCTGATCAAACTGAAATATAATATAAACAATTACTAAGGACTATGCTCAGACTGATAAATTAACTGATTAATTATGTTAAGATG